ACTCCCTTAATTCATGGCTCAAAATCCCTAGAGAAGTGCAGAGCAATCCTTTGAGTCAAGGGGACAACATTAGGTAAAACAATGAAGTTGGCAACCTGCTGTCTACAACTTGGCGGGCACCCGCAGCCTATGGCGGGCGCCCGCAGCGCATGGTGGGCGCCCGCAACGCAGGGTAGGCACCCGTAGGGTGTCAAAGGTGCCTTCCATGTGCTGTCAAAGGGCTTCCTTGGCCTGCTGATAGCAAATGGCGGGCGCCCGCAGTGCATGGCGGGCCCCTGCCAAATCTGAAACCTATTGGAGTTGAGCTCCCGCAGGATTTGGCTTGAGTTGGCGGGCGCTTGCGGGCGCCCGCCGTACTGTTCACCTGCTTCAAAACTTCTTCTTGACTTTGGCCTTGCTTGATCTGATGATGCTATCTTCTATCTTAGGCTTTACAGAAAGTGCCCTAAGTTCAACGGCACAAAATAGCTTAGCAAAACTGTAAGTCCCCGGCCCGGCATACTTTGATCTTCAAGAACTTATCAAAGCTTCACTTTTATCTTTTTTTGGGGAACCAACCTAAAAGTAAACAAAATCATGCAAATGAATATAATCTATACAATAAGATCAACTAATGGACTTAACTAATGCAAATAAGGGCGCTTGAATATGCAATATTCAACACTTATCAGAAACAAACAGACCAAATTATAATCCAATAGTGTGGTGACATATGGCATTTGTTGAAAGATTACACCTGGCAGAATTAAAATAGGGATAGCTAGCCATTTTTGTTCAGCCGAAAAATAAGGACAGTTGACCATTTTAGTTCAGCCGGATAATGGGTACAGTTGGCCATCTATTCAGCCATGAATAAAGCCTTGTTTGAGCCCAGAATGAAACTAGGATATAAATACCTTAATGGATAAGGTAGTTCCTATAATTAATGAGGTGGGTTTGATATATAGATAAATACAAAACCTCCCAATTACGTGGCCATCAAATTGCTACCAAAGTAACCAAATTGCTATAAAGAAAGAGGTTAACTGATTTGCTAAAAACTTGAAAGGAAGGGAAGTTAATTTGGGACACTTGTCATGTGTTGGTTTTAAAATGTAAGTTCATGAATGAATGAGGACAGGAACATGGCTACATTCATTATAACTGGAATATATATATATATATATATATTGATGAATATATGGCATCATCATATTCAAAACCATAAAGCAAAACATAGGTTGAGAACGTGGGACACATGGCATCGCAGGAAGAAGACTGTAGTTCATGGGTTTGGAAGATGAACTTCTGCAACTGGACATGGGACAAGTGTTTTGTAAAGAGATGATAAAGGGAAGGGGTAGTTTGTGATAGGACATGTGTCCTTCTTGTAAGGCTTGTAATGCCTATAAATAGTATACCTAGGACTACATTTGAAACTCTCTCAACAACATCAACTACAATTCAATGTCATTTATCTTTCATGTATTTCAATTCTAGCAATTTTAATACAAGTTCTTTATTTTCATGCATTTACTTCTTAGTATTGCACTTTAATTCCTTAGTTAGCATTGTAGTCTTATTAAAAGTCCTTTCATCAAAGGCAAATCAGAACCTTCCACAATCGCCTGATCGTTCTAAAAGGGTTTCATTTTTGCTCGACTTCTCTTAATCTTCCAAGATTCTAACAAGCTTGCGCACTTCCAGTGTCCCAATTTTGTGCAAAAAGATAGCATAGGGGTGAAGTGTCAAAAAATTAAAGTATAGGGGGTTTTATGAATTTAACCCTTAAATTTATTTATATAAAGGAAGACCATTTTGTTAATTTCATCCGTCCATAACGAGTTTAACCTTGCATGAAACTTTTTGATATTATTGGGTGGTCTAATAGTAGGGGTGGCAAATTGGCAGTTTGGGTTGGATTTGGGCTGGGTTAAAAATAGGCGAGTCAAACATGGGTCAAGATCCATATTCAACCCGCTTAGAACGGGTTGAAAATGAGTGGGTCAAAAATGTATAAGGTCAACCTGTTAAGACCCATATTGATATTTAAAAACTAAAATTTTCTTAAAAATTTTGATGTTCACAAACATGGAAAAGAAAATTGTAATTTAGATATTTGTAAAAAAAAATAAAATGACTTGTGAAACCAGCCCGACCCACCCAAAATATTGATGTTTAAAAAATTAAATTTTCTTAAAAATTTTGATGTTTACAAACATGGAAAAGGAAAATGTAATTTGTATATTTGTGTAAAGAGAAAATAAAAAATAAAAAATAAAAATAAATAAAAATTGACCCGTGAAACCCGACCGACCCGCCCAAAATATTGATGTTTAAAAGATAAATTTTTCTTAAAAATTTTGATGTTTACAAACATGGAAAAAGAAAATGCAATTTGCATATTTGAAAAATAAAAATAAAAAAAATTTAACCCGTGAAACCCGACTGACCCGCCCAAAATTTTGATGTTTAAAAAATAAATTTTTTTAAAAAAATTTGATGTTTACAAACATGGAAAAGGAAAACGTAATTTGTATATTTGTAAAATAAAAAAATAAAAAAAAAAATGACCAGTGAAACTCGATCGACCTGCCCAAAATATTGATGTTTAGAAACAAAATTTTCTTAAAAAATTTTGATGTTTACAAACATGGAAAAAAAAATGTAATTTGCATATTTGAAAAAAAAAAATTGACCCGTGAAACCCGATCATAGTTGTCAAAGGCGCGCGCCTGAGGCGCAAGGCGCCAGCATGTCGCCTGTAAGGGCTTAAGGCGACTGGCTTTAAGGGCTTAAGGTGATTGGCTTTGAGACGCAAGGCCATAGGCGCATAAAAGGCGCGCTTGTTTGAAAAAGATTTTTTTTTATTATTATTGTTTTGTTATTATTTTTGTTTGGTATTGTTTATTATTACTTTTTTTTTGTAAGTATTTGTTTATTATTACTTTTTATATAACTTCACAAAACCTACAAAACAAAAAGAAATAAAAGAACACAAAAAGAGCAAAAGGAAAGAGACGGAGGCTAGGGCTTGCAAACCGCAGTGAACGCGAAAGCGAAGCAATCTCAGATCTGCCGAATCATAGTGCTGGATCTGCTAGATCTCCTCAGATCTGCCGACTCACGTTAAGTTCTTCTCTTCTTCTTCTCTCTTCTCTCTTCTCTTCTCTCGGCAGAATTCCTCTCTTTTTCTCTCTATTCTTCTTTTCTTCTTCTCTCGGCTCTCTCGAGTCTCAGCAGAATTCTTTTCTTTTCTCTCTCTTTTTGGCTCCCAGTTTTGGGTGTGTAATTGTGTATGCCTTACAAAAATTGTGTAACTAAAATTTTAAAAAATTATAAATCAATTGAACATTATTTCTCTTACCATATTAGTTTTGTTATATGTATTGACGAAAATATAAATGGTTGGCTTTGGCATCTTTATGTTGAATATTGAACTTAAGTAATTGATTTAGTTGACTTTTTGCATCTTCATATATACTATTGCATTTTTATTGGGTAGGTTTTTTTTTTTTCCAACATGCGCCTTGCTTCAATCGGGCGCGCGCCTTGCTTCAATCGAGCGCGCGCCTTGCCTTGGACCTTGCGCCTCAAGCTTCAGGAGGCCTTTGCGCTTTTGTGCGCCTTGAGCCTTTAACAACTATGAACCCGATCGACCCGCCAAAATATTGATGTTTAAAAATAAAATTTTCTTTAAAATTTTGATGTTTACAAATATGGAAAAAGAAAATGTAATTTGCATATTTGAAAAAAAAAAAAAAAAAAAAATTTACCTATGAAACCTGACCAACCGGCCCAAAATTTTGATGTTTAAAAAATAAAATTTTCTTAAAAAAATTTGATGTTTACAAATATGGAAAAGGAACACGTAATTTGCATATTTGTAAAAAAATAAATAAATAAATAAAAATTGACCTGTGAAACCCGATCGACCCGCCCAAAATATTGATGTTTAAAAATAAAATTTTCTTTAAAATTTTAATGTTTACAAACTTGGAAAAAGAAAATGTAATTTGTATATTTGAACAAAAAAAAAAATTCTCGTGAAACCCAACTGACCCGCTTAAAATTTTGATGTTTAAAAAATAAATTTTTCTTAAAATATTTTATGTTTACAAACATGAAAAAGGAAAAAGTAATTTGTATATTTGTAAAAATAAAATAAATTGACTCGTGAAACCCGATCGACCTGTCCAAAATATTGATTTTTAAAAATAAAAATTTATTAAAAATTTTGATATTTACAAACATAGAAAAAGAAAATGTAATTTGCATATTTGAAAAAAAAAAAAAAAAAAAATTAATCGTGAAACCCGACCGACCCACCCAAAATTTTGATGTTTAAAAATTAAAATTTTCTTAAAAAATTTAATGGTTAGAAACATGGAAAAAGAAAATGTAATTTGTATATTTGTTAGAAAAAAAAAAAAAAAAAGAAGACCCATGAAACCTGCACGACCTGCCCAAAATATGATCCGAGACTGGACTGGATTTGGCCAGCCCAACTTGCAGCCCTTCGTGAGAAAAAGAATAAGTTGGGTGTAATATAAAATAAATGTGTGTTTTATGTCTATTATGTAACGGATGAAATATGAATTGAATATGAGTAATCATATCCAACCCATCTTGACCCTCAAATTAAGTAGTTAAAAATTACCCAACTCACTTTTGACCCCATAACTATTAAAAAACGGACGAATATAGACAGGTTGATAATTTCTGACGCATTCTACCATCCCTACCTAATAGAAATAAATGGGGTTAAGTGTCAAAAAGAATGGAAGTATTGAATTTAACCCTTACATGCTTTTTCTAATTCAATAACAGGAACATATGTTTGTTTAGTTTTCTGGTTTTTTTTATTTTTTTTTATTTGCTTACTCCTACACTTTTTACCTTTGTGTCCTTACTTGCACAGTAACTGCTTCAAAAATGAAAATGCTTTTCTATACTAGGCAGGCAAACATTTTACCACCAAGGTCACTTGCGGGGAGGAGCAGATCTAACAATTTTATCCATTCGACAGAGAAGAGACATCAAATAAATGTTCCAGTGTGAAGGGAAATTGTTCGTCAGAAAACATAGGAGTGGACTTGTATAAAACACAAGGTGGTCACTTGCAGATTCTGACAACCAAATTAAGGTACAAAACCGCCACTATTTTGTACAAACCTTCCTACTAGTTGTACACAAATGGGAAGATCATTTACAGCTCATCATCATGGAATTGATCAAGTGCATGACAAGACGAATACTTGAAAGCTCAGCACCACTGGTGGTGGGGAGGCTACGATGATGGTTTAGTATCTGATATACTTGCTCAAATATGGGACGAACATGAACGGCAATCATTGGGTCTGCCGGGTTTATAGCAACTGCAACGTCCGTCATCCACCCCAGTTTTCGAGGCGTATCCTTTCTTATATCACAGGCCAATTGCTGCAGAAGAGAGAGCAGAACTCCTTGACTCAAGGGGAGAGGAATCATCGACAAAATCCCCTGTAAATCAACCTGCCAGGAAAAAACAAAAAAAAAAACAAAGGGCAAGAGAACAGCTGATTTAACTTTTTTTTAGAAAAGTAAAATCTCCAGCAGGAATTGAGACGGTGTGGAACCAAAATATGAATCTTGATTATAGAACAGTATTAAACATCGATTTTGGATAAAAGCTTCAAAGAGATCGAAAGAGAATGGTTTTTGGATATTAATGGAAGTCTACACTTTCAAAACCTAGACCAGAAGTCTTACCAATAAACATGTTATTCAACGCTTGAAAATGTAAGACCAATATACAAGAACAGGTCAGGTACCAAGAAGTTACCCACGGTCTAGTTGAAGATTTGATTGGCTTTGCTAAAACTGGAAATGGGAAATGGGTTGTGTTTTTCGTCAATCATTGAGTCCTATTCCGATATATGTGTTTTGGGGTTTGGTGATTCAAGATGTCCAAATTCTAATATTAAATACGGATCTTTAAAAAAATAATTTTCCTGAGGTTCTAATATGGTGACAGGAGGTGTTTTCATATGAACAAAGGGTTTGGGTATTTATCATCCATTTGTTGTTCAATTACTTCATAGAATCGGGGGAGGTTATATTTAATACCTCACAGCCCTTTTCCCCCATTTAAAAGGATACCTTAAAGCTTGAAATTTCAGATATACAGCATTATCAAGGAACCATACTTTTCTTTTTCTTGAAGTTGAATAGGAGCCATGACTGGAGCTTTGATAGGCCAAGGGACCGAGAGTGGCTCGGTTCATATTTCCATCAAAACTGGACCTAAGGGCCATATTTAAAAGACACGATTACCCTTCACACTTTACAATCAACTTCAGCCCCAAGGAAACCTTAATTATCTTATTTACTGGAAAGAATAACCTTAATTCTCTCCCTCTCCTCCACCTCACCACCACCACCACTTGACCCATAACCTCACCTTACAAACATATATATGTATATATATATAATATATGCATATTATAGTTTATGTTTATATACAATTATATATTACAGTTAATATACATAAAATTACATCATATAAAGATATATGAATGTATGTATGTTGCAAAGCAACAGATTAAAATGAGTTGCTTCCCCTCTTCTAATTATGACCACCAATGGCGCCTTCAACCACTGCCCACCATTTTCTCAACTCTCTGCTGCTATACTTAGTTCTTTCTCTCTCTCCTCATCCCGCTAGTCACCACCTCTGTTTTCCTCCTCTCAAATCACCAAAATCTTCGACAAAGTCAATATAAGAGAATATCCCTCTGGTTGGTTTTATAGCTAGAAAGACTGTGAGGAAGCTGCCATTTTCAGAATTCTCCTCATACCATATTCTTTTTTGAGAATTAATAGGTACAAAAAAATCATTAAATTCTAATAACCAGTCCCAGGAATTTTCTAACAAAGGAAGAGGTTAAGTGCAATACAATTAAATGCAGCAAGTGATGAGCATCAGAGCTCGGATTTGGATGGGATCTGAAACCATCTAAGGATGTGTGTGTGTGTGTGTGTGTGTGTGTTGTGAGAGAGAGAGAGAGAGAGTATGCTGCCAGTTTGGTTACTTGATTGAATTTTCTCGGCATATATATGGGAGATTGAGTTCAAAGTCCAACAATAATGGTGGTTGCAAAATGATTGGGACCTCTGTATATGCATATACACACACACACACACACACACACACACACACACACTCTTCGTATCTAATGGCATAGTTTCTTTGTAACTAATGGCATAGTTTTCCTATGATCATTTTCCTTTAAATTACTTTCATGATCTAAAGTTGGTTTTATGCCATATGGGTTGAGTATGAGGGGGGAGAGAGTTGTAGAAGGAGAGGGGCTGGTGTGGTGGGCGGCAATGGTGGACAGAGAAAGAGAGATTGGGGGTTGTGGGGTGGGGGGAGAGAGCGATGGAATTGGTGGTGGAGAGAAGACAGAGAAGAGTGGACACCATGGCGGTTATACAGTGGTAGTGGTGGTGGGGAAGGACGGCCTCCGCGATGTGTATATATATGATAAAGTTAAATTGGTCATTCCATATGTTTGATAGGTTACAGTGGTAGTGGTGGTGGGGAAGGACGGCCTCCGTGATGTGTATATATATGATAAAGTTAAATTGATCATTCCATATGTTTGACGGGTAATGCACTAACTTTGCTCCTAAAGAAAAGGCAATTTCGGTATTAAATCAGTAGTTCTCTAACCGCCCTAACGGACCATTAACTGACTGAACCTACATGTATTCTTTGCCAAACCTCATGGGAGGTTAACCATAATATTTACCAATATTTAATCTAAGGGTCCAGATTGCAAACCTCAATGGAGGTCAGGTATATTGGTACTACAAGGCTGTCACCTGACAAACTTGAGCCCCTCACTCTCTAAAAGAATTAATCACCCATCATTTAGGCTTCGTTTGGATTGGTGGAAATGGAGGGAGAAGAAAAGTAAAGAAATGGAGGGATATTATTTTCATGTTTGGTTTACCATTAAAGAAAGAAAATAAAGGAAAAGGAGGGATTTAAAGGGATTACTTAACCCCTCAAATTGCATTTTCACTATCATTCCAAAAGTGGGAGGATTTGGAGAGAAAGGATAGCCACTTTAATGAAACTTCCAAAATACTGGAAGTAACCTTAAAATTGTAAAGAAGAAAATTGCAATGACATTTGAATCCTAGGGTAATAATATCCATCTTCACTTCTCCCATTCGTCTTATACAAGAACAACCACTATTATTCAGCGCCACAATGCACTCCTTCGCCTGCAATTTCTCTCTCTCATAGTTCAATGTCGGCCCTGTCATCGGTGATCCACAGCCATCATTGCACGACATATCTTCTCACCTCTCTGCAGTTTCTCACCCAAGATTGAGGCTTCCCCCATTTTGTAAATTTGATACAAATTGCAGTTATGTGGTATGGCACTTCACTTATGTCCATGTGATGATGGCTCCACGAACACACTACCCCTCAAACGCACTACCGCTTCTTCACCAGTAACACAATCCACCTGTATGGCAACTACTGCAACAATGTGATGATGGCTATCAATCTATAGGAAACTCGGCAAAAGATAGCAAATGAACAGAGAAATCCCGCTCTCTTATACCTTCTTTCAAACCTCTTCAATCCTACTTATTTTAAAAAAAATATTGGGCACAAGCATATCTAGCCAGTTTTTAGGTTTTGCAAATGACCTCACCGGAATGGCCAATCATATTTTTCGCAGGGAGATGAAGAATATGGGTTTTTTATTTTGGATAAATATACATAAACTGGAGGCAATTAAATTAAATGTCACGGAGCTTCAGCAGAATGCTACCTAGAATGCAAAAGGTACAGAAATTTAGGCGTAGAACATGTTCTATTTGTAATCTAAATGCTAAAGAGTATGATAGTAAATTTTATAAGATAGTTTCCTTTCTTCTCTCTTCTTTATGTTTTCCAAACAAAAATAGGGGTTATTGTTATCCTTTCCTTTCTGTTCTTTTCTATCATAATTTATCCAAACATGAGCAAAGGATTAAGCTATCATTTATTTTCCTTTTTTTTTTTTCTATCATAACTAATGTTAGAACCACTTTTCTTTTCCATCCCACCTATCCAACGAAGCCTATATCTTTCAGAACTACATACCACCTATTCACTATTCTGCCAGAACTTGGGAGCATCAAGATGATACAAATTCCATATGTGAAATGAATTAAAAATAGAGAATAAAAGGAAAAATCTAAAAGACTAGACTGCCCTTAGTTACGCCTGGTCATGGTGGCACTTGCACATCTCAATCCTCAACAAAATTGTGCAAACAAAAAAATAATAATAATTAATGCTGTATATGTATGTGTACCTGAGAGCATAACCAAGATACAATTGCAACATCACTTCTCTGTAGGGCTGTGGTGAAAGCCTCCTCGTATTTACGTTCAGATATCAATCTAGATAGCTCTTTGGTTGGATCCAAAGGTGCCTCGATCTGTTCCACAGACGGAGCACGAAAAATTTGAATGACATTACAAGAGCAAATAACATTAATTGGAGTTTCCAGAATTTACTGCTTTCATGGCTGAACAAACCTTATCATGGAGACCACCCAAAGGTCCATTGCTCAATTGGGTAACCAACGGATTTACAGCTTTTGAGTTTGCACCTGCAACTGCAAGAGCTAGCAACTTTCTTTGACCATCAGCCAATTCCCCACTTAAAGTTTGAGCCACTGATGAAGCTGAATTAATGGCATCCTGCAGAATTAGGATAACATCAGAGGTTGAAAGTCATTCGTATAGCAAATAATTAGTGAAGAGTCAAGACAACAGCAAACAGATTGACAGAAAGATATCACCATCGTAAAAATAGTAATGTCATGTCCTAGAATAAAAAATAAAAAATAAATAAATAAAAAAATTAACTAATAAAATACTAGTATAAGAATAGGAACATAAAATACAATTAGCCACAAAACACATTTGACAGGCACGCGCATTTGGGTCATACAAGGCACTGGACTACATACCCTTAAAGCAAGTGTCAATGAAGAATGTGTGGATTCAAATTGTTGCTGAGCTGCAGTTGTGTGTTCTACCATTCCTTTCTGAAATGTAGCATCAACTTGCTCAAACATAGCTTTGCATGACATCTCAAATCCAGGGATTACAGAAGCTTCCAGATTAGACTTTAATGTCTCCTGCATGGATAATTTTGATAGTTCATTAAATTCTTTGTGACATTTAACTACATTAAAACAGAAATTTCCAGAGTACAAAAGAAGGAAAACAAACATGATAAACTTATCATTCACAAAGACAATATCAGCTGGGAGAAAGAAAAGCTGGACTGTGCATGTGCAAATTTGGTAACAGTTGGCTCTGCCGAAAATTAAGAAATTACAAACAAATAGGGGGAAAAAAAAAGGAAGAATATAGAAATCTATGTAGCATGGACACGGACACGATACGCGGACCCGTTAAATCATAAAAAGTAGGACATGGCTAATATAAATGTAAATTAGCATTTACAATTCTATTAAACAAAACAGTTGGAACATTTTACATAATTTAGAGGAGAGAATTACTTGAATACCTTATTATTATTACTCTCCCGGCTTGTCATTATAATTGTAGTTTTGTCATGCTAATAAGTTCCATTACATATTATGACATGTATACAGTATCAACTCTGAAAAAAAAGAAAAAGAAGAAAGAATGAAAGAAAAAGAGGTTGGATGGACACTTTGAACAGTATTTATATCGTTTTCAAGATTGTTATAGGGTTCTATTCCATAAGACTTGTATTTGAGAGTGTAGGATCTGTTAGTTAAGTGTCCGGAATGGGTTGGCCAAGTGTCTGAATTAATTGAAAAAAATTTTTTCTAAATTATGGACACATCCATGATTGTATTCTATAAAGACTTGTACTTGAGAGTGTAGGATGTGTTAGTTAAGTGTTTGGAATGTGTCCGTCGAGTGTCAGAATTAATAAAAATTATTATGGACGCGTCCATGAAGTATGGGACACGTGTCCATGGAGTGTCGTGTCTGGCACAATTTCCAACATGGACATGGCACTTTCGTAGAAGTGTATGTGCTTCTTAGATAAAATCAATATGCTCGAATTACCAAAAAAGTACTTATGATTTATAAAATATCAAGGAACCAAAATCCATCAACAAATTTTGGCATTAATGACACGAAAAGGGGAAAAAATATTAGATTAAACAAAAAATAACAAGATTAAGCTTAGTTCCTACTTAAACACTTGAGAGTTAACTACATGTTCCACATAGCTCGGTCACATATTAACTGATACCATAAACCTGTGCATACCTGAAGAGCCTGCTTGCCAGAAGTTTGAAATTGTGCTTGAATTTGTCTGGCAACAGTAGCTTCAAGTTTTGAATTAACCGATTTCTCCAGTTGGTTCACTGCCTTGTCACCAACTCCTCTCTGCACCACATTGTATCAAATTTAGTTCCCTATAAGATAAATGCCAAAAGAAAACTGAGATATTCAGAAGGTTAACCTGGAAGGCCTCGGCAATAGCTGTAGATACTGTTTTCTCAATTGCTGGAGTAATTGTGCGAGCTACAGTCTGTCCAACCATGGCAAATTCTTTCTTCACTGTTTTCTCCAGCACAGCTGGCAAGTCTTTGTTCATGCAGTTAGTGATCGAACTTGTTATTTGCTGAGTACGGTCTCGTACTAACTTCTCCTGTTTCACATTCTCTTCTAGGAAACGAGCCCACAAAGCATCAGTATTGGCCTTGACAGCTTTCTCCATGCTTCTCCCTAGGGCTGCTTCTAGCCTTCTGCCTTCTTTGGTAACCGGGATGGCAACCATCATTTGCATCTGCTTTTGCATTTCTTTCTGCATGGTTGTCAACTGCAAGAAATAGAAGGGCAAAGAGATGTTGAGAATACAGGATGCAGATTACTGTGCACATAGAATTCACGTTAACATATAATACATAAATGAAACAAACTTTTGTTACCAAGACGTGCTGGTGAATTACCTTTCAAGGAAAAAAAAAAGGTGCTGGTGAATTGCCGATGTAAATTAATAGCCTAGTTTGCAGCATACACTGTAACATTGAACATAAGAGGAATACAACTAGTACAGAAAGAATCGGTATGGAAAAAGGGGAGCTCTTCCATCATTTTCAATCCCAAGAATTATAAAAATAAAATCCCAATGGAGGGCCATATGTACATCGCTATAGTGTGACATAAGAAAATTATTAACATAAATCAACACGCAAAAATCAGCAAATTTTCAACAGAATATAATTACATGGAATGACCAAAAATACAAAACTAAACACAGAACACCATAAAAACAAATGAAAGGGAATTAAACATGGCCCCCTGAGATGATAAATTTGAATATTTTTAAAGGAACACAATGATGCTATTATTAAATTAAGAAAGCCACCAATAAGAATAATTGAAGAGGATCATAATTTAAAAGGAACCAAATATTACATGTCCGGAAATTATCTAAAATTTTCTTCAATTAGACTGCAGTATTTGTTCTTTAAATAATATAACTCACTTCCAGTTCCAGCATGCAAACATTTCCACAGAAAGTAACTACTGATAAAAATATATTAAGGAAATCATGCACATGCCAAACTTGAAGCAATGACCTGATTAAGCATTTCCTGCATAGCCAGAATTTGAGAAAAAGCAGCTTCCATAGAGGGAATCCTTGAACTGACGCCTGGTTCATTAGAAGAATCTGTTGAGTTGAAAACACTTGGGGATGCTGAAGATGGACTTGATCCTTGATTATTCTTCCCCTTTTGCTTTTTTGCTTTTGAGATTGGTGCCAGTGGTTGTTGATTTGTTGCAGGCATAGCTAAATCTGCATCCTTTCGAGTGATATCTTTTGTGGAGTCCTCGACTTCTCCCTCAGCACTTGAAGGCTGGGCCATAGCCTCTTGCCGAGATTCCTCCACAATATACATTTCTGCTGGTAATGCACAGCACTCTGTGGCCATCTCAATACCAAGATCTGAGGCCTGCGAGCAAAAAGATTTCTCCTTATTTTCCAACACGAGCTTGTGAGATTCTCCTCGAGAGCCATGTTCACTGTTCTGATTAAATCCTGTTTCACCCACAACCTTAACTTCCACTTCAACATTATTCACACTGCCATTGACAACCACGTCTTGAATATTTGGCTCTCCCTCGCTTTTGTTCTCATTAACATGAGCAGTTTCAGAGGAAGCAGCCATCAATATTTCAGACGGAGTTACCAGATGAGTTGGGTGCTTGAACTTGATAGGATGATTAAGAACAGTGGAAATATTATCATGTGCAACATTGTTTTCATTATTCCTTGAATCATCACCCAAGGAAGGAACATCAGACAAGTGTGTATGAATGGTATCCATTTGCCTGTCAACTGAATATTCAATAACTTGTTTATCTCCACCACGATCATTGAGTGCGGGACCTGGTTCAAAGCTGTTCACTGGACTTCTCAAACCAGAGAGTTTTCGGGGCAACCTTGGACTCAAAGGAAGACGTGGTGATGCAACAGAAGTAATATCATTATCACTAGTTACCACTGGCAAAGAAATAAGTTTAGATTCCATAATCAACTCTGGTGAAGTGCATCCCTCCATAGAAGTGGAGCTCACAGGATGCCTCAGCATAGTTGCACTCTCAGAACTACTTTCTGATATAGATGGTTTGGGTGCTGAACTAGCTGATTGCATCTCAGCAGATTTGCTATCAGATGGCTCCAAAGCTGCAAATCCTTCAGTACCAGATGTATCACGGAAGATACTTGAGTCTGACTTCTCTAGCACCACATTATCCAGTGGTGGTGGCAAACACTGGGATAAGTCCAGTGCATACTGCTGAATAGCCTGTGTCTGAACACAGTAAACCTGAACAATATGTTCACCATGGGGTAATAAATCACTTGTTCCAGTAAAACTCAAAATCGGCATGGTCACAGTAAACTCTGCTATGTAATTCATTCGAGTTGCTGCAGGGTTAGGACCATATTCTATATGTACAGCATATATAGCATTCTTCTTAGCATTTGCTAATAAGAGAAGGCCAGATTCAGACATGGCAACAACTTGATTAAAGAAGGCCTCTTCCACTCGAGGTTCAACTGAACTCTTCAATTCCAATGTCTGGGTACACTGCCACGATTCAGCATCACTAGGAAGCAGCCAGCCTTCTTCACCTACTGACGCCCATAACTTCACTTCCCGATTCAGAGGCCCCTGTGAACATCCTTTAAAAAATTAAATGGATTATACTATCCATGCAAAAAACATTGTTGAAAAGCATATTAAAACTCTTCTGACAAAATTTGTCAAAGTTAAATAAAAAATTTGTACACAAGTGAAAAATATAAAATCAAAATGAAATTTAGATAATAGCAGGCTCCTAAAAGACAGAAATATTAAACATTCAAGTTGAATTAGCATAGTTACAGCCTGAAGCATACTAGATGAAAATATTAAAAGAAAAAAGAAAATATTCTCAGAGCATGTACCGCTGTGATAAGTATAATGTGATCCGGACGGTGAGGGGCAGTAAAAAATGCAACAGAATTAACAGGTTTGCCATCGTGTGGCCTCAATACCATGAGTGGTAGCGGCTTGCGATCTTCCCAAATCTTTATCTGTTGATGAAGATATTTCACATGCACAGTCAGGGACATGGATCAAAAAGAAAATCATTACAAATAATAAATGCATGAAGGCATACACGCAGACGTGCATCAAGAATCTTTAAGTAGTGTGGAAAAGACTGTATTAGTGACCTTACAGGGTGAGTCCAAGATGGAAAAACTACATGTTCTATTACCCAGATAATGGTAATGAGCATGTTCCGAAACAATAAGCTCTTTCCAACAGTATATGTAATTCTTTGCATGCACTTACATATAGATATTGAAGAAGTACCATCAAATATTGACAAAAAAAAAGGAAAATTTTGAATAAACCCACTAAACAAGAAATAGTGAAGACTATAAATGATTGAGGCCACTGAACAAAACAATATTGTGCAAGGGCTAGCAATTTTTCTCCAGAGCTACTCCAGGCTAACTTTAGACTACAGATGAGAATATAAGGAGTTGAGATCTTGAAATGCAAGACTGAGATTGGAGGTTTGGCAATTAGGGCAACTATCATTCTGTGACAACAAAGGTTGGGTAGAGAATGCCTTCAGGTACAAATTTTGAGGACTAAATACCTTGCTGGAGGGGTTTTGATCGGCTGTAAACCAAATCACATGCATCAGATATTTGGCTTAAAAAAATTTAAAAGAGCAAGCCCTTCTAAATGAAGGTGTTACATGGCTATAAGGGAAGGAAAGACCACTCTGTCCTGTCCTTTTGAGGGATGAACCACTGCACCAGTTAGCTGCTACCCAATTCCAAGAGAAGATGGTAATCTAATATTTCAGTACCAGCAGAAGAAATATTTGCATAAATCATGGTAATGCATCCTTCGACTGAGGCTATGGCCTTAAATAGAGCAGAATGGAAACATAGGATTCATGTAGCCGACCCCAAGTAGTTGGGAAAAAGGCTTGGTTGTGGTTGTTGTTGTTGTTGTATTGAGATGCAGGGCAAATTTAAGCTAAAATAACCCAAGGGGCTTGAAGTGGCACATAGCCCTCCGGAATTTCATAACTTCTCGGAGATTATGCAATACAGCAACAGGTCATTTCTGCTTGTTTAATTGCAAGTTTAAATGCAAAACAGCAAGACTGTACATTCTCATCAAATGTTTCTTTGAGAAGGTCCATTGCTTGCCCAACTTCAAAACAAATCATTATTACTTTCATCCCTTAATATCAGAAGGTGATTACCAAAAAGATCAAAAACCCAGGCCATGTTTTACACATAGATTACTACTTTCAGATTTCCATTTCAATGTAGAACTGCTACTGAATGACCTCATACTTCAAATCCCCTGGATCACTTGAAAGTTAAGTCAATTCTAAGGTTTACCATGAGTAAAAGTAGTAGTCAGTACTTGGTACCATTGGTTGAGTTACAGGATTTTCATTTTTGTCACCAATGTAAGAGCAATTGCGGAGCATGGTAAGCATGGTATACACTGACCGTGATGTAGGAGATGAAATGAACATCTATGATAAGAGGAGAGCTTGTCACAGCATTGCAGCATAAAACATGGTTGATTGGAATTGAGGTTCATATGTTTTGGCATGCCCTAGGAAACTTGCTGAACTTGGTTTGAATATTTTAAATATGAAACCTGTTTGGATTACGGGTGCAGCTTGGCTGGGCAACCCGAACCCAACAAAGTCCAATCCGTTTTTTTCTTTTCCGTGTTTTTTCCTGGACGGGCTTGGGGAACTCTTTTTGTTGCTCAGGTGGGCTTGTGCTAAAACCTTTCAACCAGACCTCAATCTATGAACCCAACCAGAACCCAATCTAGATTATTATTAGTAATAGTATTATTATGTAAATATTGGAAACAAAAGCCTAATTCAAGAGAAAAACATGGTCATAAAACATGGTTGATTGAAAATGAGGTTCATAAGTTTTGGCATGCCCTAGGAAACTTGCTGAACTTGGTTTGAATATTTTAAATATGAAACCTGTTTGGATTAGGGTTGCAGCTTGGCTGGTCAACCCGAACCCAACAGAGTCCAGTCCCTTTATTTCTTATGTTTCTTTTTTCCTGAACAGACTTCGGGACTTTTTTGTTGCTCGGATTGGACTTGGCCTAAAATCAGACCTCAGTCTTGGTCAGGCTTAATCAAAGGCGTTGAGCAATATGAACCCAACCCGAACCCAATCAAGATTATTATTAGTAATAGTATTATTATGAAAAATATGCTTGTTGCCAATTGCAGCATAAAGCATGGCCAATTAGAGATTGGTTTAATAAGTCTTGGCATGCCCTTAGGAAGCTTGCTGAACTTGATTACAGACTAGTACACAAAAAAGTTTGAAAGGGAAAAAACAGAGCCTAAAAATGGCTTTCTTTCTCAAGTATTTCAAACAATTTTCTTTCCTTCAGATGGCAATGGTCATGCAAAATAGAACATCCCAGAGAATTCATTTCGGATTGCAATGCTTGGGATCTAATAAAAATATTTGGACAGACAGCAAAAACACAGCAGATAAGGACATTTTCTTTAAGCTATCCTGGGGTTCCGACAAAGAATGGATGGATCAGTTGTTCAAAGAAGAAGATGAAAATAAACACCTTTAAACTAAAGGCAGTTTTGCCATTTCTTCCATTAAAAAACTACAGCCTGCAGGTGGAGCATGAGCAATAATTGGAGTGCAGACATTAAAACCCCAAAGTAGTAAAAATTTATTTCCTCAATATAAATAAATGAATAAAATAAACAAGAGAAATAATTCAAAAGCATCATTTCAAAATTTTGATAAAAGAACAAAAACAATATAGTACACACTGACGAGTGCAAACGAGCCATTTAAGCCCTTACTCCTCGAATCCTAGTAACATGTTTAACTCACCTCCAAAAACTTCATTTAAAGGACAACACTGCTGTCATTGGAAACTTAAAGGACAATATTTAAATGCCGGAGTCATAACATTTACGATCCATCACAATCAGTAAATAAATATACTCACAGGAGCACACAGGTAAGACATAATTGAATTGATGCTCTTAATATGAAAGCTTTTTTAACTAATTTTTCTACATTTCCCCATTTTATACGAAGTGATATGGTATGACTAACCCTCTTTCATTCATTTATCTAAAATAACAAAATCTTTGTTTGTTACCTACATAATAAACCATTAGTATAGCCAACACGAATATGTTGAGATGATTGAGCAGACAGCAATATAAATAAGGCCACAAGGGTAACTAAAAGACCATAAATAGCAAAACTTTCAGGATGTAGACAAACCGTGCCATCCATTGAAGCAGAAACCAAACGGGTGGTCATCCATTGACACATCGACAAATCAGTCACTTCTCTATCATGTTCACCAACAGACTGGACCCCATCAATCAGCTGTTCAACATGACATCTGAGAGGTTCCTCCGCTGAAAAGACTTCTCCTTTTCCAACTTTCGTAGTATCTATTCTCAGAATACGTTTTCCAATCCCAACTACTAGAACTTCCTGTGAAAAATGTGTAAATTATTAAAGTAAAAAAATTGTATTCAGATGACTTAATTGCTAATAGAAACAACACAAAGTATTAAACGAAATAATTTCAAACCAAAATAAATGCTGCATTTATGATTAGAATTAAAAATTAGAAGAATATATACTTGTTTGTGACAATGCCAGCAAACTCGTGGATGAACAGATTCCCCTTCTCCTGCTATCTGAATGGCGATAACTATCTTTCCTGTTATCTGTGGCTTATCTTCCTCATCTGGCCCTTCAGTAATCTTCCATATATATAACCGCCCATCTACACTTGCACTGCACAAAAGTCAGAAGCATATTAGCATAACAAAAAGGCAAACACAAGGAGATTATGAATAA